TGCTCGTTACATAACCTTATTGTACCAGAAGAAAATAGATAGTTGAAGAGACGCCTGCTTTTACGTTTTAACTGATACGACGAAGCTTCAACTAATAAGTTAACTTCCACATGCGAGACAATCATTAGGGTTTGTCAAGGAACAAACCATTTGGGCCATCTTAGTTTCATTGTACTCTTCTTCTACTTCTTTGTCAACTTCTGCAACACTTGGCTTCTTCTCCTACATTGAACCCAATCAACAACAATTCACAGGTAAAATATCTGAATTCACAAGAAGAATCAGTGCTAAGAGTGTTCTATTGTGATTTACCTTTAGCATAGCTGTGTCAACTGTGAACTTTATCGCATCAGCAGCAGCACAAGATCGCAGGTAATACATCCCCGTTTTCAAACCCTGAAGGTAGATTCCCAAAAACATAGTGAGTTAGGATAGGAATGTTCACAAAACTAGATATTCTTCTTTCAAATCTCGTTAGTATGTTGTCGAAACTATTTCACATTGATTATATAAAGAGTTTAGCAATGTTTAAGGCAAACTTGTACCTTTTTCCATGCATAGAAATGTAAGGAAGTGAGCTTTGCAAAGTTCGGTTTGTCCATGTGTATATTTAAGCTTTGGCTTTGGTCTATGTAGCATCCACGATCAGCAGCCATCTCCACCACTGTTCTCTGCTTAATCTCCCAAACAGTCCTGTTGTAGTGTATTGCGGGAGAAAACAGGTCAGATCTCAATATCTAAGACATAGTAGTGAGTGAGAGCACAAATTCAGTTAGAGATGTACCTGTAAATCGCCTTCAAATCATCTGGAACATTTACAGTAGAACCACTCTCATAAATTATCTTGTTTTTCAGCGTCGGCGTCTAGAGTCCCATATCAGTTAAGTCATGGCAATGGAAAACCAGAAACACAATCTTGTCAAGTGTTGTAATCACTTAAAAGGACATACCTCAGGACTCTGAGGCTGTAGATGTTTGAAGTGTATGGCTCAAAACATTCATTATTCCCAAAAATCTTGCTGGTTGAAGCAGTTGGCATAGGTGCTACTAAAAGAGAGTTCCTCACTCCATTCTTTGATATCATTTCTCTAACAACTGCCCAGTCCCAGCGGTTTGATGGAGTTACATACCACATGTCAGGTTGAAGAATTCCCTACAGAATTAATGGATACGTCGACCAAACAATCAACCATGGATATTACTTGAATTGCAGGCTGAGATGAGATGCATACCTTACTCACGGGACTTCCTTTGTATGTCTCATAGGTGCCCTCCCTTGCAGCAAGCTCTGAAGATGCTTTGATTGCATGATAGTATATGGTTTCGAATATATATCTCCTTAGAACAGAGAACAATATCACATTCCAAAGTTTGATCATCACATAAAACAAGTTTACCTCTTGAGAATCAAATGGCATTCCCAGAAGGATAAATCAGTTTCCTACTAACCTTCTCCCTTACAAATCTGGGTAAAGCAATAGATGCAAGATTGCACACAGCAGTTTATTTCTTTTACACCAAGAAAGAAACACAATGGCCCTAAATCTTGTATAATTGGAAACTCCTTGTTGAGCGATGTCATCAATTATTGTCATGCAAGAACCAGTCAATATAA